TATGCTGACCGGGTCAAACCAAACCAAACCAAACCAAACCTAAACATCACTACTCACCTGGGATTCTGGACTTTGAAATGTCATCTTGCGTAAAAGGGCTTGAGGCATGTCCACACGCAAATCATCCATATAGTCGTCCCCACATATAATCCTTCCAAAAGAATTTCGGGAATTCAGTAAAACATGGGCTAACCCACCTAGTACAGGACAATTATCAACAACGATGTATCACACATTGAAATCTTAGATTTGAAATTTCTATTAATTATTTTTGAAATCGCAAGATAGTCATCTACGCCAACATGTCACATAGCACAGTTACGAGGTCATGCCTTTGAAGCTATCACGTCATAGACATGTATGCTCTGTGCGTGTACGTTGCGCACACATACGCTTTGTGTTGTGATTCTCGAGGTCGATCGCAATGAATCGTATGTCAGGATTACCTGACCTCCCGATGGTCTGCGTGATCGGTCACGACTCACCGATGTGCATGAGAGACCATAGGTTGTACTCTTACATGTTAAAGATCTCGTGCGTTGTGCGCCCGTGCGTCCTGAGTATGATTAGTTGAAAAGGAAGATGCCCCTGACCTTCTCACGGCGTGTGCGATTTGGCTGCGACTCATCAACGTGCATAAGAGACCAGATGTTGTACTCTTGCCTGTCCAAGAGCATGTACGTCATGCGCCCTTGAGCCTTGATCATGATCTATTAGAGAGGAAGATGACATGGACATTCCGACGGGCTGTGTGATCGGCTGCGACTCACTGACGGGCATGAGAGATCGGAGATTGTACTCTTGCCCATCAAAGAGCTCGTACGTCGTGTGCCCATACGCCCTACGCACGACCATTTGAAGAGGAAGATGACAAAAACATCACGTCATGAGTAGGTTTCCATCCACATTGAGCACTCTGGACTACCCAACAACCATCACATGATCGAGGAGCCAAGTGGTGATGCTGACGGCAAATCTCAGAATCATTTGTTACATCCTAGAGACTTGAGGAGTACACTGGACCGCAGTCATAACGAGAAATCCGCCCAGGATATCGGCACGGAGGTGAGCCACGTCGTGCTCCGCGCACGAACTCGACACAACTTGCCTATGGGGTACAGGTACTCTAAGAAGCCACCCACGCTGTAGAAGTATTGGCACAAGGGTTCTAGAGGTTGATGTCCCTGGAAGAGATGCACAAGCATTCGAGACACATCACTCATGTAGACATGGAGACATTGAACGAGCTGGTACCTGATGTAGTGTAAGATTTTAGACTGAGGTTGGATAAGCTACGGAGGGGGTAGTCCGGAGAGGGTTCTACACGGTGTACCCCTGCATTCCATAATCATTCACTCGTAACCAGGGGCGTAGTTTGGGGGTGGCCAGCCTAGGCCCACCCCAGATTTAAAAATGCCTATATTTCTATGTTAAAAAATTTGTGTGAATTTTTTTCCAAAAATATTCTTTGTACTGGCCTCGTCCGACCCGGTGCTCTGGCTCCACCCCTGCTCATAACATGATGAAGGTAGCGTTGTCAAAGGGGTACAAACCTTGCAATGTGAAGTTGTTACATGAAGGTCTGCAAGCTATTACATGAAGGTGTGGATGCCCTGTTGCCAAGGGGGTACAAACCTTACAACGCGGCGATATTACATGAAGACATGGAAGCACAGTTGTCAAGAGGGTACAAACCTTTCAACGCCACACATCTCTTGTCACCTATAGTACAAGGAATAGAAAATGAGCCTTTATCCTTTCACTTTATAGGAAGCTTCGTTAGAGTATGGCAAACACATTCTCACTTAGGCTTATTCTCTCATCCTCTCTAAGTTTTCTCTTGTTTGTGAAAAGTTCCTTTTAAAAATTTGCATACAAGGAACTTTTTTGATTGCATCAATGAGAGGTATGTTGACTTCCACTTTCCGAAAAGAATCCCATATATCCTTCAATGCATTTTTCTGTTTTTTTAGCTAAGATTGATGGAAAGGGAGGGGTAGAACATTAGTTGGTAAACAAGAACTCGGCTGTTTATCACTTTCCGACTTGCAAAAAGGGTCACATAACATAGATTTTTCTTTATTCGGTAGTTAGGGTACATCTGATTGATTATCCTAGCTACTTTATCCTCTACCCATTTCTCGTGGTCAAGCAAAAATACGCCTTCTTAACATTATTCTCAGTCAAAGTCTTGCTGCTATGAAGAATGATAGCATTTGCATTTTGATTTCGGTCCATAAGCCATGATGTAGCCAGCTGACCCGCATGTGTCCTTAAATCCTGCATTCCCACTTTAGTTTCTTGCCCAAATTTCTGTTTCCTTTTCGCTAACATCAATTCTCCATGATTGGGAGTTCCATCATCCAGACATATAATGAGGATGGGATTGAAGAGCTCAATTATTATTATTCTTCTAAAAATCGCTCTAGGCGCCCGACTAGTCCCCGCCTAGGCGCTAGGCGGTGGTCGGGCGCCCCAATTTTAGTCTAGGCGCTCCGACTAATTGGTTCAGCGCCTACGTGAATTAGTACGCCGCCAAGGGCGCCTAATTGCCCGCCTAGAGTGCTTAATCGAACGCCTAGGGCGCCTTGATTCGCCGTACGTTTTTCTTTTGCTTTTTTATTTTAGTTTTCTAAGATATATGTTACCTTTAACTTTAATAACGCATATGAGGAAAGCTACTAGTTGTAGATCAAGATAAAACTATACATTCATGAAGTTAAGTGCGTAGGTATAATATACAACATATTATCAAATGTGTCAACCCTATCACTCATGCATGTTAATGTGTGCGTATATACTTTTTATTTACACACAAACACGATATTACTAATCATATTTATGCAAAATCATTGATAAAACATTGTTATTCCTATAGCTCAGATTCATATGGCTCTTCCACCCTAGGCTATAGGTGTTTGAGAAAGGATCAAACTTGCGTTAGAACTTAGAAGAATCGGGAAATCTTATTACATTAGCTTCTTCTGTCTTTCCCTGAAGCAATGAAGGTTAGTGGTGGACTCGCTGCGGGCCACCCGACCCGGGAACCGGCCCGACCGACACTGTTTGGGCCCGGCCCGGGAACCGGGTATCGGTTCCGAGTCTAGGCCCGGTTGATGGATGAAAAAAGGGTCGGTTCCGGGATTGCTTAAATGTGAACCGGCCCGGGCCCGGTTCGGGCCTGTTTTTTTTTTTTTCTTTTTTTGGTTTGGGTTGGGTTTAAATGGGTTGGGCTGGGTGTTTCCGATGGGTTTGGGGGATGGGGGGTAGGGGATGAAATAATCAAGAAAACTAGAAGAAGAAAAATAGAACCAGACCCGGCCCGGGCCCGGTCAACATCCGGGCCGGTCCCGAACTTCACTGAATTTTTTTTGCCCGGCCGGGCCTAGGCCCGACCCGGCCCGGACCCGGCCCATGCCTAATGAAGGTCATTCATCACTACAGGTCTACACTGAGTGAGCATTAGGAGAACGGACATTGCACACTTTTTAGCTTGCTACAAATTCATCTATCGTCAAAGTAGTGAGTTGTGAATGTTGTTGGTTTGTGCCTTAAGGGTGGTTCAACTTACGATTAGGGGTGGTTCGGTACGGTATACCGAATATTTTTCCTCATACCTTTGCCATACCAAAACTTTCGGTATACAAAATTTATATACCGTTACCTTACCGAAGTTTCGATATACCGCATTTCGGTATACCGAAGTTTCGGTACGGTAACGGTTCGGTATCGGTAAATTACCATAGACTAATAAAATACACTAAATCGGTGTTACTAGCGACATATTTAATCCATTGTTAAAATGTTTTAAAATACAATTAATAATCTATTGATATCATATTCAATCTTGAACAATAATTATTTTTAGTATATTTAAGTAGTTCAACATGCCACGTATTAAAAAGTAATACATTCTCCTAAAATAACTTGAATATTATAGATATAATTAAATCAATCGTGATCTCTAACAAAAATAAATAAATTTTTCAAAAAATATGGATATAAAATCATTTATTCCTAATATGATTGTGTATTTAGTCATTTTATAATTTTAAAAAAATATTTAAATAAGACTTTCGGACAAAGTTGTATGTTTTGACTCGCGGAATCCCTATGTAGATACACTTGTCACACTCGTCAGCAGCTCAGCCACCACGACTCGCAAGCTCTTGGGACAAGATGGACTTGTTTCTAGACATTAGTATATTACTCATTAGTCATTAGGGAAGTTTATTTGAATGTTACGTAATAGAAGCCTAGAAGGTTATAGTAGGTTTGAGATATTGGACCTTTATTTTTGTATTTTGATATTTGTAACCAACCTAAGTATTAAGTTTAGGCTCCAAAGTTGTAATTGACTTTTACAATATTTTAGAATTTAAAGTAATTTTTGGGTAGGGAGTCGGTACGGTATTATACCGGTATACCGCGGTATGTGAAAACACTTACCGTTACCATACTTAATAAATCGGTACGGTATCATACCGTACCGAAAATGACGGTATACCAATATTTCGGTATTTTCCGGTATTTTTCGGTACGGTAAGTGCGGTATACCGATTTTTCGGTATTTTTGCCCAGCCCTACTTACGATAGTTAATTTGCGATAAAATAGCTCCTCCGTTCATTTTAAATTTTTGCTAAATTGCTAATATAAATAAAACTTAAATATTTAGAAACTAGAGATAATTGGGTGTGTATACATTTTTTAATAAGTACATTTAAGTTTATGTTATACATTTACAAAAATAAAGTGCATAGCCTTTTAAATTATCCTAGAAGTTTATCGGTATATACATTAATACATGTAAGATGTAAACACCGAAATTCATGCAATTTGATGTTATCCAAATGCATTTTTAATTATCAAACACAATTGAGCCTTGTAATTAACTCTACCGTGTTTTTATATTTGTTGATAAAGTAACCTATTTGTTTAAGCTATATAGCCATTTCTACCTATAAGGCTACAGCCGACAATTACGATATGTGTTTCTCTAGAGTCTTCACTTATCACACACAAACAATATTAAAAAATAAAATGTGAACTTGTTGACGTATGCTTTTTAGAATTATCCACCATGTCAACTATATAGAGTTCGATATAATAACGAATGGCATAGAATTAGGCAAAAGGAATGTAAAATATATAGAGAGATAAACTTGTCCTAGTTTATATTGTTACATACACTTGATAAAACTTATAAACTTGTTGACGGATCACTCTCTTCTATATTTTTGCCAACCTCCTCGTATTCTACTTCTCCCCCCATTATAGCCTCCTCTACTGCATCAACTTCGTCTGCGTCATCTTCGGTTGCAGTACTGTCGTGGTGTTCAGTGACATTATTTCCCGCATTTTGTTTTTCCATCATTCCGGATAGGGCTAGACTCGGTGACCACTCAATCACATCATCGATAATATTAGAAACCCGCCTTTGATACCTACAACACAAGGAAGCATGCATGAGCAATTATAGCCGGCTGAGTGACATTGTTGAGACTTGAGAAACATTCACTCATTGGACCACTCAACAATCAAGGCCATGTTCAGTAGTAAAAATCGGCACCTTCTGATTACTCTGCTTATTATCAGAATACATAGAAAATTTTGTATAAGTAGATTATGATTATAATAAACACTTTCTTTTTCAGAAAATGCAACTTATTCAGCCATTCGCAATTTTATTCAGTCAAATAACTCTTATCAAACAGACCCTAAATCCCTAACAGCATGTGAAACATAAGAATGCCACTAAAAAATTTCACACACAAAAACACGGCTCCCAAGATTTTATGTATACAGCAAAAAAACAGTGTTGTTAAACTAAAGGATGAATATCTACAATGGCAAAGCCAGAACGGTAGAAAGACTTTTCATATAATTACACGGATTTTTTACACAAGATTTTACGGAATTTGGGGTGAACCAGGTCCCAAGTTGCTCCCACCCCAGCTACAATACGTGGTAAATATGAATTATCCAGTCCTTAGATAGTTAAGAATCCAGTACACAGTAAACCAATAAGGCAAATAGTAACTATCCAAATGCAAGAACATCCCCTGGGAAAGCTTTGTGTTTTGTGTTTTCTGTTTACTGAAATTTTAATTTACTTTCTTTAGTTTCTTTCATATTTCTTGGCCGTAAAACCTGTTTCACTGATGTGGTTTCATTTCAGATATATAAGTTATACAGTATACAACAACATCAAGTCTTATTCCTAAAAGATTTTGGGATCTGCTAACATGAATCAATACATGATAGCAGAACCAAAAAGAGAAGAAGGTATGAAAAATAAAAAGATAAGTTAAGATAAAATGGATAAGATAAAAATAAGTATATGATAAAAAACATAACAACATAAGATAGGTAACTCATATAAAAGATAAAAAGATAAAAGAACATAAGAACGATACAACATCCAAGCGTTAGTCTCAAAAAAATTTAGGGTCGGCTAACATGAATCGATACATGATAATGTAACCAAAAGGAAAAGAAGGATAAGAAAGATAAAAATATAAGCTATGATAAAATATTAGTTATACCCTATGTATTTCAAAAATCAATTCTTAAAAAATATTGATGTTTTCAAAACCGGGTCAAAATCGAAAACATAGAGACCACTTATTAACGGAAATTTTTTTATGTTTTCTGGACAATGGAATTCCAATTTAGAAAATAGATAAGAGAATACATTTACATTACTAGTTTACTGGTTTTAAAATTTAAAAAAACACGAAAACTGTTCTTCATATTCTTGTTTTCCCATAAAACTAGAAGACATATTTTTTGTTTTCCAAGGACAGAAAACAATTTTCAAAAATAAAGTCATTGCAGACAACTACGATCACCCGCATAAAGTAAATGACTTTACTTTGGAAAATGGAGCTAAAGACTCACTATCTTTGGCTCCATTGCAAATGATGGAAAGAATTCTCAAGAGTATAAATATTTTATTTAAATCTAATGACATTTTTTGTGTTTGATTGATAAATGGTTTGGGATCGAGAATGCTACAAAAGAGTTTATATACAATTTAATGTCTCTTAATAGAAAATTTTATTTTTGTATATATATCTTTGTTGAACTAACCTTGTCCATCATTTGCAATGGAGCCAAAGACTCACTATTTTTTAGCTTGGGAATATGATGGAATAAAGCAAAATGGCTTACTAAACTGTCTGTGATTCTTTGTTATGAAGCAGCAGTCAGGCCATGCAATTTTCGACGTGATTTTCACTATGGGTCATCCGGAAATGGTCTCTCTGTGCTTTAGTACAGGGGTAAGACTGCGTGCATATGACCCACTTACCCCCACCGAAGGTGTAGGAGCCTTTGCGGCACTGGGGTAATGATGATATCTTTGTTGAACTAACCAAGGCACCTAAAGAGGAAGGATTTACCGAGGACTAGCAACACTCAAGTGTGAGGGAATTTGATAGACACGATAAATTGCATATATTTTTATATAGGTGATTATATTTATCTGTACAAAAAGAGTAAAAAGAAAACAGGTAAAAAACCAAGTTGAGAAAAAAGTGTAAAGGCGGTCAAGATAGAAGAAATGAGAGTCAAAAGTTAAAGAGGACCAAGAACTGACACTTCAGGGACAACCATGAGCGTTGAAACAAAGCAAAGAACTCAATATTTACAAAGGGGGCGTAACCGGCGTCAGTTTCATTTATTAATTCAAGAATTGAAATGCCGAGAACAAACCGGCACCGGTCCCATGACCTCATAGGCAACGGTTACCCTTTGTGTGGTGTCTGATATTCAACGGAGTTTTTAGTAGATGAATTGTTAGAAACCTCTGATACCAATGTTAGAAACCTCCAAGAAATCCAGAATAATCTCAGAAAATTAATGGGAAACAACTGAAATCTTTATTGACGAATATGATCGATAACAGAGAGAAACAGTACAAAGGCCGAAGCCTCCCAAAGAGAAGAGAAAACAGATCCCCTAATCTTCCCAAGTCCCAAAACAGAATGTCCAAAAGCCTACTCTACCTGCCCCAGCTTATTCTATTTATACTAATATTGTACACTTATTATTATTAATATTCTATTAGGCCCAGTCCCCAAACAATTAGGCCCAGTTCCTTATTACTAATATTACACTAATAGGCTGGTCAATACTCCCCTCCTAAACATCCACCTTGCCCTCAAGGTGGGTGATAGGAAACAGCCGTCACTAACAGCTTCATCTTCATTCTGATGCCTCTTCCTTCCCAGTACATTTCTGAATTCTGTGCTTTTAGCTTTGGCACTTGAATTTTCATTCTTCAGTCCTCAGCAGAAAAGAGCATAAGTAAAGACATGGTGGCATAATCCCCTTTGGTGTCGTAAGATTCTCCCAGTTTCTGCATCTCCTGTAGAATTCTTAGTTTTTGTTCCCACATCTTTTCAAAAGAATTGACCTCAGTTGGATCCATCCCAGGAACCTCATAAAGAGCAACAGTAACTTTCTTACAAAGATCTTCATTATAATTCTGTATTCTCTCACCTAAGGCAAACATCATCTGAGGATTTACAGCTCTGAATGGATCACAGAGCAAACCAGTTTTAACCTTTTCACGGGTACACATACAAACTTCAGTCAAACAGTTGGAAGAACCTCTTAGTAGGGTGGTCATAAAAACTGGATTTCCATCATCAATGACCTGCCATAACCCAACAACAAGAGTTTCAATGTAGACTACCCCTACTATATCATATTTCTTATCATCCGCAGCCTTGATTCCTTGACTGGCGCTAGCCATCTGAAACTGATGGTCACAAACTACACCCCCAACGGGAACACTTATACAGATTACTGTCTTTTCCTTAATCTTTTCCTTATCCTTCCCAGTTAATCCTACCACTCCCAATCCCTTTAGGATATATTCCATAGAATTCACACCTTCAATTTTGAAATCCTCAATCTGATTCTGCTCTTCCAACATTCCATTTGATGAAGGATATTGCACCTTTAGAGCTTTGAGGTTATTTGATGAATCAACATTTTCTATTTCTTTCACAACTTCCTCTTTCGTCTCCAATTGTTGAAGTGAAGGTGCTTTAAATGGATTATGTAAGTCAAGCTTGGGTTCGCCTAGCCTTCTCTCAACCCATGGTTGCAATTGTACTTCTTGTACTTCTGCAATTTGCAAAATTGATTTCCCAGTTAAGTAATCCCCTATCATACCATAGCCTGAAGAGTTTGCCCACTTTCCTTGCTCTTGGTCCTTGCTTCTTGAGCGGCTATCATAGGCTGACTTTGTTGGAGTGTATGTATTCACTTCTTGTTCAGGGTGATGCGACCCAACCAAAGAACTCCAAGAATCAGGTAATGACTGCGTAGACACTTGTGAACGATCGAGAGAATGGGCCTGTGTTGACGCGTTATGAATTTCCGCAAGTGAAGATGCCTGTGAATTGGAAGAATAGTCCAGAGACAAAATTGAAGATTCTCCTCTCAATCGGATCTTCCCTGGACGTGAAGTAATAGCCGCTGAATCATTTTGCGAAAGGAAAGACTCTGTTCGCGATTGTGAAAGGTGCGTAGAAGTTCGCGATTTCGAACCAAAAGAAGTGGTTCGCGATTCCGACAGTGACTTGGTGAACGATTGTGACGAACTTACTTTGTCAGTTATCGACGAGCGATGAAAAGAGCGACGCGACGAACTCTGCGAAGAGCGATGTGAAGTGTGCGATCTGCTCTTCGAACTCCTTCTCGCCTGAATTTCGTTCATCGCCTCTAGCTGTCTGTTCAACTGTTCCGCCATCTTTCTCATTTCTGTTAACTTCTTCATCATCCATGTCTGCTCCCGCTCCAGCGACTCCATCCTCTTTTCCATTTCTGGTGTACAAAATTCTTCCATGATTCAAATTCTCGGTCCCCAGGAAGTATGCTCTGATACCAATGTTAGAAACCTCTGATACCAATGTTAGAAACCTCCAAGAAATCCAGAATAATCTCAGAAAATTAATGGGAAACAACTGAAATCTTTATTGACGAATATGATCGATAACAGAGAGAAACAGTACAAAGGCCGAAGCCTCCCAAAGAGAAGAGAAAACAGATCCCCTAATCTTCCCAAGTCCCAAAACAGAATGTCCAAAAGCCTACTCTACCTGCCCCAGCTTATTCTATTTATACTAATATTGTACACTTATTATTATTAATATTCTATTAGGCCCAGTCCCCAAACAATTAGGCCCAGTTCCTTATTACTAATATTACACTAATAGGCTGGTTCCTATCATGAATGTAATTCGTGACGGGATTTACACGTAATGAAAATCACGCTCCCACTGTTGTGACCGGAGTTGGGAATATATTAGCGACATCATTCATAATTATTGTGAAAAAACTAATATTAAATACTATTAAAGCATTTAGGTGAATCCTAATTGGCTTAGTAACTCTTATTCTTGTTTAAATCAATATCAAAGAACAAATCCCTGAGATTCAATATCATTTCTATACTTTGGGCTCAATGCTCGAACTTTATAATATTAACCATTTCTTAGTATATCGACACTTGTATACTTGCAAGTCTAACCCGATCAATACTAACTACTAAGCATGGAACTATTAAACCTGAAACTATACTCCTCCCCATTTGCATGATCTTGTTTTTTAGTTCTCCAAAAAAATTGAGAACAGAATATGCAATCTTTGTTTCAGTTTTTAGTAACATGAGTACGAAAAAACTGGAAATGAGGATATTAATCACAATGCCTAATCTCATAAAAGTTTGGAAGGGCATTAAATTTGATGTGAAATAAACAGTTCATGATCAATAGATGAAATGAAATATTTTTTCAAACGTCAAGTTCATTGTATTATATATTTCTATTAAAAAGTAATAAATCTAAACCTAATTTGAAAAATAGAGAGAGAAAATAGAAAAGGAAAATAAATTACTTATATATGAAAGTTATAATCGCAGTTTATTTTACTTCGTATTTTCCTACATACAGCCATATGTATAATGAGTCAGCTTACCTGGCTCTAGCAGCCTCGTCAGGAGCATGATGTCTTAGAAGCAAAATGGCAAGCACAGCCACAACTGCATAAAATAGCCTTGCTGACCACTTCGGTGCCTCCCCCTCATCTTTCTTGGGCCAAAACTGGAATAACTCTTCCAGAGTTGCTTCCTCAGCAAGTATGTTGGGGAAAACCCATACACGCTTTCCAAGAAGAATCCATAGAGCACCAAATATCAATGCCCTTGCTGCAAATTAACGACTCCTTATCTATCATTGAAATAAAAATTAAACACTCCTTCTGTGCCAAAGTATTCTATAGTTTGACTTGGCGCGCATATTAGGAAAGTAAATTGGAAACTAAAATTGTTTGGTTGTGGTTAATGTAAAAAAGGGAGGAACAATATCAACCAAACAATTTTTTCTTTAAAAGGAAATGATTAGAACGTTTTGGAACATCACAAAAAGAAAAGTTGGAAGAAAATCAAGAGGAGGTTTTTCTACGTGCCCATGAGCACCACTTAAGAATAAGTAGATTATATAGTCCAAACTTGAGGTACAGTCCGCCAAATCATCGATGTCATATAAAGATTCGTAATCATGAATAGCACTACTCCGTCCCACACAAAACATTCTAATCACAGGACACAACAGTTTACAAGATAAACCTCGCTCCCCCCCCCCCCCCCAAAAGAGCAATTTCACATTGGCGAACTTCATAAAAAAAACATATCTGTTATTTCCAAATTCTTTAAATTCCACATATAGAATCTAACTTTATTGTTAACCAAAGGATTTAATTCTACCCCCCCCCCCCCCCCGAGCAAATCTTTCTTAAATAAAGAGACACTTGTCTTAGCAATTAGCATTGACTTTAGCTAAAAAGATTAAATAATACTTTCGAAATAAAAAGATTAAGAAAATGAAAAAAAATCCTTTCAAAACGTATAAGACAAGAAGGAAGCCAAAATGGACACAAGAAACCATTTTCTACTATGAAGGTGGTGGTGGATTAGCCTCTTCTACGATTTTGGCAATTCAAAAAATGCTACTAGAATTTAATTTAATGAAAGGAAGAAGGTGATGTAAAATGTAACTGATGGAAACACTCTCATTTGATGACCTGTCATTATTTTCATTTCCAGTAATAAACCCAACATCAAATATGAAGGCTACAGACCGAGTTAGGAAGTGTATGCAGTCTTGTACTTTTGGGTCACAATCATTACAATTTCTATTATATCTTCTTAGATGGAATGTCAGGGTTATAAAACTGTGGGTATAATATACTCCCTCCGTCCCAGGGAGAAGTTCCCGGGTTGACTTTCACACATATTAAGGAAATAAAGTTACTGGGGGGTAAATTTTACTGTTTGGCACTGTTTCGACACTGTTTGGCACTGTTTCGACACTGTTTTGCACTGTTTAGCACTGTTTGGCACTGTTTTGATGTAGAATAACTTTCCATTTAGGGAAATGGGAACTTCTTGTTGGGACTGCCAAAAAAGGAAATTGGGAACTTCTCCCTGGGACGGAGGTAGTATAAGTTAGGTGTGAGATAAATAGACTATAGAGTCAAGACTGATTATAGTATGTGAGTCACCACCCACTCCATGGATTGGGGCAACCCATTTGGGGTTGATTTGGTCTCATTTGTCGGCCCCTTCAGTTGTCCAGCATGGCAGCATGACTTGAGCTGATGGGTCTATATTGAATATCTCACATAGGTTGTCTACTAAGTTCCAGTCTTGTATACAAGTGAAATAAACCTCGCTTTTAGAGATCCTTTTGTGATGAGTGATACACGATATAACTGCCAACATTGTTTAAGCATGACATAACTTACCTAAAAGAAGACTAAGTATGAGGAGGAGGAGACTTGCACAAGTGTAGAGTATAACCAGCTTGCACCTATGTGGATACACAGGAAATAAGCAGATTGCCAATGTCAAAACTGGCCAGGAGAATGAGAGTAGTGTCTGCCAAAGGGCACTTCGTTTCGCAAATGTCCATGCAAAAAAGGCATCATTTTCAGAAAACACTTGATCCTGCATAGATAAGGAAAGTTATGTAGCCAACAACTAAACATCATCATCATCATTATCACCACAGTGCCGCAAAGGCTCCCACCTACGGTGGGGTAAGGGGGAGTCAGATGTACGCAGTCTTACCCCTGTACTATAGCACAGAGAGACTATTTCCGGATGACCCATAGTGAAATTCGCGTCGAAAAATTAGATGGACTAATTTCTGCTTCATGACAAAGAACTGAAAGAAGTGCAAACAGTTTTGTGAGCCATTTTGCTTTATTCCATCATATTCTCAAGCCAAGAAATAGTGAGTTTTTGGCTCCGTTGCAAATGATGGAAAAATAGTCAACAACTCAACAAGTATACAAATTTGTAAAGACATAGGATAACTTTTCTATTGACCAGGATAAAAAGACAAAAAAGCAGCAATAAGTTATGAGGGTACTTGGGAATTGGGATATGGCAGACACGTCCATTCAGAAAATTCAGCACATTCAATCATTTCATGTCAGCTAAATAAGTCTTAGCAAATGGACTCTTAATGAACTGTTGTCATCAAATCAATTTGTCAAATAACCATACTATTTTAATACTCATTGTGATAGAATAGAACATACATGGTATATCTCTAAATGTGCTGGCCAGGTAGATAACTTTTTCTTTCCGGGCCGAACAGTTTTTACCACACGGTCACAGCGCATTAGTAAATTTTTTTGAAGCAGAGCACTAGCTATTTCCTCAGTTTCCAAATTTTTATCTGATTCTAGTACGTCTTTAAGTTCTGGATGATTCTTCATAAATTTTACAAGGTCTTTTCCCCTGACATACTCAACTCGAGTCTCCTGAAGGACAGCCCATCTAGACATCAAGTCTTTGTGATCTCTCACTTTCTCAGCAAATAACTGATAAACGTCCTTCTTTGCAGCTTGTTTCTGTGGTAGGAAAAAGAATTGCAGTGTAATCGGGAAAAGTATGTATAGTAAAACAAGCAAGAAATAAACAAAGGGACGTTTCCTGATGTAACCCTTAAATGTTAGGTTTTAGCAGTTTTTAAAATGGCCAATGGGCCACCTTAGGAAATTTCACATGTCACCTTTGGAAACTTCCTAGGGTATATTATAAACGTGCAGAGTAGAGAGCCTTTTGAGCAATACCAACAACCTAAAATTTGCTCCACGAAGTTTCCCGTAAACAATTAATAATAATATTATTACTAAGAAAACATTAATTGAGTCAATAAACAGATAAGGGTAAGGGTTGAAAAAACATGAACAATTGATAAATAAATTGATGAAAGTTCATCAGGATGTCAATAAAGTGGAAGGAAAACAGCTTCAGACTCACCATTGACAATTTATGAAATGCTATTTGGTAATCGTTCCACTCTTTACATCAAAACTCAATGTCCAATTATCCTTCAGCAGTTATAGAAAGCTAGCAGTAGATTCAGTTCACCCCAAATATGAGTTTGTTTTCTTTTGTTTTCTAGGGGGAAAAAATCTGAAATGTAAGGAAATATGAATGATCTGGACTAATATCATTTCAGTTTCTAGTAAAATCACGAGTCCACGTTTAAATCTTTCCTATTTTTTTTTAAAAGGATAATATTCATACATTCGATTGACTCCCAAAAGGAGGCATTTCTCTCCATTTTCGTGGATCTATCTGAAAAGGAACAAGTTGTTGTTGCTTTTCCTCAAAAAGAGAATCTACGAAATGGAACACATATGTATGGTAGAACAAAGTGATTGAAACATTAATGAGTGTATATTTGAGGATAATGACCTCGGAGCTACCTTTGGAGGAGTATCCGTGGAGGAATACGAACCGTTAGGTGCAGAACCGGTTGATCGGCGGACCCTCTTCTTCTCCGCTCCTCCCGGTTTCTTCATCCCTCCCAGTACACTATATTCCGCAGATGCACTGCAAATTGATCGTCGAAAATCGAAATGTTGAAAAGCTACGTTGAAATTCAACTTACGCCAATGAATTCGACTTGTAAGTGGATCTGGTTTGTTGTAAAAACCAGACCAGCGAGTGTCGGAATGATCTGGTCATGGATCGACCCGGATCTGGCACCCGGTTATTCGGTTTAACATTATACGAAGTATAAAATTTGATTATACTCTGGAGATTTTTTCTTAATTAATGCTAATTAAAAAAATATTTACCAATCTAAGGTTGGGTTAATAATAATACTCAATCTACTGCTACCATAATTAATACTCCGTATAAAACCCCGACTAAACAACAATACAGCCCCGACTAATTAATACTCCGTATAAAGCCCCGACTAATTAATACTCCGTATAAAGCCCCGACTAAGGTGCTGTTTTGTTCGTCTTATTCTTATTATTTATTGCTTATTCTTATTTTATTCAGATCAGATCAGATCAGAAAAATTCAGATCAGATCAGATCAGATCAGAAAAATTCAGATCAGATCAGATCAGAAAGATTCAGATCAGATCAGATCAGAAAGATTCAGATCAGATCAGAAAGATTCAAATCAGATCAGACCAGATCAGAAACATTCAGATCAGATCAGAAACATTCAGATCAGATCAGATCAGAAAAGTTCAAACATGATTTATCACTTTAATTATTATATTAATTATTATTATTAATATTGTTATTACAATTATGATTATTATTATTATATAATTATTATTAATAATATTAATAATAATATGATAACAAAAATAAGATATTAATAATAGTTATAATATTTTAATATAATAATAGTAATATAAATGTAATTATTAAGAAGACTATTATTATCATCATCATCATCATCATCATCATCATCATCATCATCATCATTATCATTATCATTATCATTATCATTATCATTATTATTATTATTATTATTATTATTATTATTATTACAATATAATAATAATAATATGATTAATGTTAATATAATATTATATTATAATTATATGTAATTATAATTATAATTACAATTATAATTCTTATAATTATAAGTATAATCAATTGTATTTATTATAATTATATCTATAAATATTTATAATTATAATTGTAATTAATTATAATTATAATAATTATAATTATAATTACAATCATAATTATAATTATGATTATAATTATAATTATAATATAATATTATAATAATATAATTCTAATTATAATAATAATAATCATATTATTATTATTATTATATTATTGTAATAATAATATGAATATAATAATATCATTATTATAATATTAATTGTATTTATATTACTATTATTATATTATAATATTATAATTAATGTTAATATAATTATAATTATTATTAATTATAATTATAATAATTATAATTATACTTATAATTATAATTTATGATTATAATAATAATTATTATTATTATTATTACTATTGTAATTATTTTACGGAGTAATTATAATAATATTGATAACTATAGTTACAATTATAGAGATAAATATTGTAATTATAATTACAATTATAATTATATAAGTAATTATAATTATAAATATAATTACAATTATAATTATATCTATATTTATAATTAGTGTAATAAGTATAAATTTTTTCATTTTAAATTTAATTTTAATTATTATTATTATTATTTTTATAGTTACGATTATAATTATAATTTTATTTAAATTATATTTGTATTTGCAATTATAAATTTATAATAATTATAATTATAATTATAATTATACAAAATATTCAAATCAGATCAGAAAGATTCAGATCAGATCAGAAGGATTCAGATCAGATCAGAAACATTCAGATCAGATCAGACCAGATCAGAAACATTCAGATCAGATCAGAAAGATTCAGATCAGATCAGATCAGATCAGAAAGATTCAGATCAGATCAGATCAGAAAAATTCAGATCAGATCAGATCAGAACTTAAAAAATTCAGATCAGAAACATTCTGATCAGGCGAAGAGAACAGCTTCTAACGATGATCTCAACATACGAATACTCCGTACTAAACAACAAACCAGGAACGTAGCAATTAATGAGTCCCCAAATTATAAAAACCATTTTTTCCTTTAAATAGTTATAACTTTTTCATTTTTTTCTCCATTTTGTATAAAATATACTACGTATATCACAATTCCTCATTTTTTTGAGTTTTCATTTGACACCAATGTTGCATATGTAATTAAAAAAAATCTGAAGCGCATATGGAACTCGTTTGGGAACTCTTTTTTTTCGACTTATCACTATTATCAACCAATTTTTTCATCAAACACGAAACTTTTGATTTTATGTGCTTATTGTTTAATAATCAAAATAAGTGAGGTTGAAATTACTTTTCTGACTGCATTGGCTGAAGTTACTATAGAATGTATATTTTAGTTATTTTTATTCATTTTATTAATAGAAAATATTTTGAGTTTTTTCCGAACTGATGTTAATTGCATAAAAGAATAAGAAAATAAGGCTGGACTAATAATTACCGAACCAAGTTTAGATTTTTTTCTCCGGGTTTTTATCTCCAGATTTGAAATTAAATAAGACACTATGAGGTCGTTTGGCAACACTCAGGATGTTTTTACTTGGACTGTAATTTGCTAGTCTGGTCTGATCTGGTCTGGTCTGAACTGTTCTGGTCTGGTTTCTTTGTATTTTTATAACTAGCCAAGTCTGGTTTGGTCTGGTCTGGGTTGGTCTGATCTGGTCTGGTCGGCTCTGGGACAGATTACAATCCAAGTAAAAACATCCTCAAAGTTGGTTGAATTAACTGATTCTATTGAAATTTATGAAGTTCAATTTGAGATGAGTGTATTGGTTGAATCGGCTTATTTGTTAAAAAATGATACTTAAAAAAATTATATTAATAAAATAAAGAATAAAACAAAAACAAAAAAAGAATAAAACTGAAATGGAGATCTACAATATCTTCAACTAATATAATAAAAAAAAAATAACTCCAACCTTACTTAATTTGATTGTTACGAAATTCAACACGGGAATTCAAAAATTATGTGTTTGGTGAAAAAGTTGGCTAATAAAATTGATAAGTCGAAAAACAGGATCACCAAACGGGTTCCATATGCTCTTCAATTTTTTTTAAAAAAATTACATATGCAACATTGGTGTCAAATGAAAGCTCATAAACAATTATAAATTGTGATATATTTTTTTTATAAAAAATAGAGCAAAAATAAAAAACTTATAGCTATTTAAAAGAAAAAAAGTTTTTTATAATTTGAGGGGGCCATATGAATTGCTACGTTTCTAGCTTAGTGTTTGACCGTTTCGTACTAGTATGCTGAGATCGGCCAGATCACTGATTATGCCTAACCGGGGCTTTTTAACTAGGGTAGCAGCTATGTTGCACCGATACTTCACCTCGATGCCGTATCCGCGTATCCGATACGTATTTGTATCCGATACTCACCGATACGCGTCCTGTACGTATTGGGTCCATATCCGTAATTTAATAAAAGTATCGGGCTTAATTTTAAAAATATCGATACTTCCGATACCCGTATCCGTGAACCGATACGCGTATCTGACCCTATAACCCCTCATTTGATACACGACATGACGAAAATTTAGTAGTCGCCTAAGTGACCACAACATGTGGAACATTGATAAAGATGGTTTCGAGAATATGGAAAATAATGGAATACTATAATTTCTCATTTCATTGCTTGATGAGCTTTAATTGAAACAAGACATAGATGTAAATGCAAATAGAGAACAAAAAAAATGTTGTTTGAATTTAAATCAAAATATTAGTACTTTTGTTTTTTAGTTTTTTTAGACTAATCTTTGAAATTTTATTATAATAGTTAATTTTTTGTACTATTATTATTTTATTTATGAACCCGTGAATTATATATATATTTGCAAATTATACCCTATATTTTTATTATTTATAAATATACCCCCGTACCCGTATCCTATAATTTTTGAAATTGCCGTATCGCCGTACCCGTATTCGTGTATCCGCGTATCGGCGTATCCGTATCCGTGCAACATAGGGTAGCAGTAGTCTAGGAATTATTATTAACCCAACCTTAATTTGGTAAATATTTATTTAACTTGCATTAATTCAGGAAAAAACTCCAAACATCAATTAATATATTTAAGGAAAATTTCACACTAATAATCCAACCTATTGAGAGTCTTCTATTATTAATCCCTCTTATGAATTATTCTAAATTAATTCCAACTAATAGTCCACCCTTCCCTGAACAGTCCTAGTGCATTGCCAACCGGCTAGCCCAGTTGAATTAAAATTTGCGCTGCTAACATCGGTAAAAACTTAAACAACCATCCGCCTAAAACAAAGGTCACCCAGAACATTTACTCCCGTCACAGAAGGTTGACGCCGCTCTTCGCAGACTGGTACTTGGATGTTATGCACTGCCCTGGTTGTTGAAAGAAAATGGTAAGGATATTTGTCTGAAATTCTTACATTTGTGGGTAGTGTTTGTGTATAACATTTTTGGGTGAAAATTAGGGGGTTTGCAGTTTAGCTGATTTAATTGGGTTTTATGGTGTTAATTAATTTCGTTTGTTAGGTTTTAAACACTCAAAAAATGTTTGGTTGAATTTCTTGACATTGTAAGGGAATGGGATTGGTTGATAGTGTTGATTTTTAAAATTGGAAGTCAGAATTGAATAGTGTAGAGTTATTTGTTTCTTTAAAAATTGATTTTAGGTGTTAATTTATAGTATAATAAATTTGTGTACTGATGTGTAAATTATTACCCAATACGTTGGTAGAGTTTGGTGTAACCGATAATTTGGTCTAAATGAATTATATCATCATTATGCTAAAAATGGAAGTTTTGTGAGATTCCCTTAAATGCTTTAAGCAATAAACTTTTCTCATGAAAAATGAGATAACAGGAACATAAATTAATCTTATGTGTTTGAGTTAGTTTGTGTCTTTGTGAGGATGTAAATTTATTATGTTCCATAGACAATCCACATCTTACTCCCATTGACTTTTCCATGTAAATAAGTGCAAAGATGTTCTACATTTGAAACTAAACAAAATCACACGTTGGTAGAGTTATTTGTCCGGTGTGGCTTATATTATATGTGCGATGGTGTTAAT